CCAGTTTCTTTACAATAAGAAGTGAGTGAGTTGAATTTAGGGTGATATTTAGAAGTCTTCAGTGACTATCCTGACAGTATTGGAAGAAGCCCACAAGTTCCTGGTTATTTGTCTTGGCTATGTTCTCATGCATCCAGTGTGAGAGAGCCATCTGAGCATCCCAGCATTTTTGTGAGTTTAGCTTGACCATTCTGTATTTCTAGTTCTTAAGAAAAAAATTATTGATGACGAATACTTTGTTCATTGAGTTTTAGGGGGTTTTAAGTGTCCTAAGGAAGCTGTAAAAGCTCAGTTTAAACAGGCAGGATTTTGATTGGAAATAAATAAAGCAAATGGTGGTCTAAGGGTGGAGTTGATGGTGGAATTAAAGGGAAGAGATGCATTGCTCCTAAACAGCTAGCAACAGCCCATTTGAGAAGCTGACACTTTTATTCCTTTTTAGGAAACATAGCATTCGGAGTCACACTAGACATTCAGTTGGTTTTCTCAGTCTCGAAAACCTGAAAAGCAACTCAGCCCAGGATTTTCCACATAATTCTAAAGCACTTGAAGCAAAATAGAAAATTGTCCAGAGATCATATGCATCCTCCAGGCAATCGTGTGTAACTAGCTTGTGATTCTAAGGACAGAACTTTAGAAGACTCCTCTAAAACCCTTGCCTTGAAAAATCCTTTACCATATTTGCAGCCCTCATTTAAAAACAAAACAAAACAAAACAAACAAAAGCCAAAACAACCCAGGAGTCCAGGATTTCTAATGGCATGAGTATTTCTTTGTTTTTACCAGTTAGAGATTCCAGCAGCCAAAACACCAGACAGGCCACATTTATCTCAATTCTGTGATCTCGGTAGTCAGCACTTCCCAAACGTTCGTGTGCAGTCAGACTGAGCACGGTCTGGAAAGGCCGATTCTGGCTCAGCAGGCATTTGAAGCAAGTTCCCAGGTGATGCCAATGCTGCTCACCTGTGGCACACTCTTAGTGAGCAGGAAGTCTCTAGCTGTGCATCCAATTTTCTACACTATTGCTCAAAGCACTTCCCAGCGGCCCCTCCCATTTTCTCTCATATATAGCCATATGCCACTCCGTGTCACCACTCACTTAAACCTAAAACTAACAGACTGCAAGCCATCACCAATTTTGGGTAAGAAGAAAAACTTTATTCTTTGAAATGATTTTAAGTTTATTACAGCCGGGTTTCAATGTTTCTTTGTTTTGTGATACTTAACATTTGATATTTATAAGCTTCGAAGTGGATTACAAGTAATGAATATGGATGATTTGCATCTGTAGCCCAGAGCCAGGCTAAAGCTATTACAATATTGCTTTCAAGAGACGAAACCAGAGTTAGACAGTACTAAAAATTATACCATCACAGCCCAGGCAATAATTGATGTCAAGCCCGTGTAGACCTACTCTTAGCTTCCTCAAGTGTTTGGAGTTGAGAACCACTTCCTTCTCACTGTTATCCTTTGTGGAATCAAAGTATGGGATGATTCAAAGATGAACAAAACCATGGATCAGAAAGATTTGTTTGTGAAAAAGATTCAGAGATGTCTACATGTCAGCCAGTGTGTGTTAGCAGCTGGTGTTGTTCATTATGTTTGTAATAAAGAGGAGTTTCATAACAGTTCCTAAAATGGGAGCAAACTGAACAATGCTGAAAAGGTCTGGATACTGATTTAGCATTTAATAAATTTTGCATACCTAAGGGTAATCCAAAGATGTCATTTCAGTTTTTAAAATTATTACTATATTTATTTGCTTAGCCTGTGAGGTGAGCCATGACACACATATGAAGGTTAAAGGACAACTTGTAGAATCCGGTGTCTCCTTCCACCATGTGTGTTTAAGGAATCAAACTGAGGTCATGAGGCAAGTCCCCTCACCCACTGAACCATCTGAATGGACCATTTCCTCTGTAATGGAATGAAACAAACACTTTTTGAACATGTTTCTATAAAAAATCATATAAGGAACAAAATTGGATATGGTTCTTTTTCTTCCTCACTCAGTATATTTCAATAATTTATGTATTTCTTTACTATTCATCTGTATGGAAATTAGACAAGACAAAATGTGTTTTTGAGTTACTGTTTAGAGACAATAACACTAATTGTGTAAAGAAACACTCTAAAACTCAGCATGGAATAAAAGATGCAATGTCAGATAACACCCTCAGCTTGTTTCTATTTACCTGTGATATTTAATGTGGAAAAACATGACATTGTCTCCATTAGGGTTTTTCATTTCTCACTGCACACATAACCCAAAACATATTCCTTCCACCCCTCTTTTTACATCTAAAGCTGAAAGATAATTCCTTTAAATGTCTGACAACTTCATAGGTTTTATAAGGACAAACAAGTAACCACAATTGTTTTTTTGAAAGACTTTAGTGTTTTATTCATCACTATTATATTTTTTCATTTGCTTCAATCTTATCTTTAAGACATTTTGAAAATACTCTTAGACATTCCTACACCACAGCCTAGTTTTAACAGATGTTAACACTAAGCATAGATATCTATTATGTTGTCTTTTAGTTTTTTCCACTAAAAAGAAATATTCCTTAAAATCATATTTAAAGTCTAATAAACTGGCAGCATTACCCATCAGTTGGATGAATGGCCAACACTGAATGGGTATTTGGCATGTTCCAGTCAGAAGCTCAACAGAACTTTAATGGAAGAGATGAGCGCCTCTCTCCTATGCTTTGTGCATTATTTCTGTGTTCAAAATGGTGATGCCATCATTTGCACTTGTTTGGGGACAAACAACTTGTGTTCCTGGTTCAAAGTCTGAAGGACAGATGGTTGTTTTCCTTTACATTGATATTTATTATTTGAGATGTATCATCTCTTCTTTGACTACTTTCTGTTCAAAGTATCATGATACCTAATTTTGCATAAGCAATTAGGAAATCTTATCTATACTATTATTATAAAAGTCCCACAAATGAAGTGCTTGCATTGACTCATGTATTGGGTATTCTGACAGTCTTTCCTGGTGGGATTCATATAAAAGGATTTTTTTCCCATTTCACCAAAAGAATTGTGTTAAATGGCTACCTAATCTGATGATATCATGATTCAATAAATAAATTTAGAATTAATACATTTGCACTTCAAAGAATGCTTTGGGTTTTCCATAAATAGATTTAACTACATGTCCCTCCCCCACCCCAAACAAACAGCTCTTTCTGGATTCACATTTTAAATCGTTCTCTTCACATTTGCAGTATTTGATTTTTTTTTTCCTGTGCACAATCAGTATAAACTTGAAAGCTAATTTTCTTTCAAAAATTTCAGGACTATTTTAATAGTGACAATGTGTTTAATTGTTGTTCTTACTTCTTGATCAACGTAGCCGAGATAGTTTGAGGGTTTTCATTCTTCAAAAAGGGGGTCTTGAATTAGAGCCATCTTAAGTGAAGTGTAATGATTCCTACTATTGTGTACTGAACACTATTAATCAGGCCCTGACCTCCTGACACATAACTTCAGTGTAGAAAAGATAGAAACATTTCATGCACCTGCTTTATCAGGAAAAATTAAACTTGAGTCTCACACATAAGTCTTGGACTCAAATATGTGCTCATGTTAGTGCAATTTGTGTAATAAACTAACCCTACTTGACTTGCCTTTTTTATAGTTGGCTAAGCAATGAATACCATTTCATTACTGAACATCTGGTGATTAATTTTCATCTTGGTTGAATAAATAATTTTTACACTGAGATGTTATCATATAATTAATGAAACATCACTGTGAATCCTGCTCGTCCCCTTTCTGCACCCCACCTGTAGAATTTTTCTTGGGGGTAATGGAGCCTTTATTAAAATGTAATTGCATTTACTTGCAGAAGACAATTTCCACTCTCTTACATGAGGGTAAAAGGCCTCATGCTGCGTTTGCAGAGACCACAGACAAAAACCCTGTGTATATAATTCTGTATTTACTTGAAATTTTCCAAGATGGAACTTAGTCTCTATCTTCAGGTAGCTGAAATTTAGTTAGAAAGGACTAGGGAAGCACACACCTCTGCTTATACACTATATTATTAAACACGAATCTCCCGGGACAGTAAAAATGATGTTCTTAGAGACATGGCAGTACAAAGAAAGGGAACATTCATCCAAAGGGAAAGTTAGTAGAGAGATTCAGAGCGCCAAGCCCTCTCTAAAATAGCAGAGATCTGGGCTTGCATAGGTACCTAGCAGGGGGTTGGGGTGGGGGTGGAGGTTCGACGCAGCCAGTGTCGCGAATATAAGGGATGGTAGAATTCCCCCACTGGCCTTGAAGGTCGTTTAGACTCTCAGGGGAAGGGGGATGGTGTCGCCACCCTACAGGGCTCCGAAGGACCCCTGGCGGCATAGCTTTCAATATGTCCGGAGGGCTGTGGTTCAAGCAGGTGGCTGTGCGGTGACTGCAGCATGGGCGGTGACCATCTTGTCCTTGCCAGGCCGCGGCGCTGGGGAGCTGCACCGAGCGC